CCTGCTGAAAAGAGTCAGCACTGCCCTGAGATCCAGTAGCTCCCGGGACAGTGAAAGGCCCCAGAACCACACCCAAAACCATGCTAATATCCAAACAGGGAAACAGACTGTAAGCCTCAAGATACTCCTTTAATACTATGAAGGCCTGGCATTTGCAGTAATTGTGGCAATGTAAAAACACGATCTCCAATGGTGTCAATGTGAACTTCAGTAGCAGTTGGGTCTGGCTGATGTGCTTTGGGAAGAAGGGCCGTCAGCTGAAAGTAACTGGCCAGGAAATCAGTAGATTCCAAATTTTGGCATAAAGCAGACAAAGTCCATTGAAAAACATATCTAATGCTGCATCCGCTTTGGTTTATTCCCTTATCTCGTTAATATTACATCCTCTCTATTACCTCTTACTCTAGAGAAAAAATTGTAATGTCAACATTTCTGTGTGTTGCTCATTTTAAAAGTGGCATTAAAATGCCCTCACTTTGCACGGAAGTGAAAGTGGCAAATCCTAGACTACAAAACCAGTTTTCATGTGTGTGTTTATTATGCCCTTTTCAAAGGACTGTAATTTTCTGCCACTAACACTTGTTCTATGCTCCTTTTTTATTTTAAATCACCATAAAGCAACTGTTCAGTAGAGTTTCACCAGAGGGGTTCTGACTGCTGCAGTAGCACACAATAAAATAAAATGTAGTTAGATTTTTTTATAAGCAGAAACATCTGAAGGTTTTATTTGGGTTTTTAAATGTTTCCTGCTTCAAAACATCTTGAGAGGTTTTGACTTACATAAGAAAGACAGAAGCACCAAGCATTCTTGAAAATGCTGAAGCATGTAAAAAACAAAGGTATATAATTGAAGTCGTGTTGCGGCTTCCTCTTTACTACCAAGTTTCTGCTATGGTATCAATTAATTACTGCTTTATCATGCAGCTGTACCATTGTGCTAGTCTAGTATATTTGTATAGCACTCTGTTTAAAATCTTTTGTTCTAATAACTTTGTTGGAAATTAAAAGTCATAACTCCTCAAGGGCAGTTGAAATTACATCAGTAGTTTGTCAGCGGTGATCTTCTTAAACAAGTTCCCTCACTGATGCAAATATCTCAGTTATGTACCCAAGAAAATGCTTTTATTTTTCCTGCTTATTGTCTGAATCTATACAGCCCCAAGATGGCTACAGGATGGTGCAGCAGTTCCAGTTCCTGGGATGGCCCATGTACAGAGACACTCCCGTTTCTAAACGCTCCTTCCTGAAGCTCATCCGCCAAGTAGAGAAGTGGCAGGAAGAATATAATGGGGGAGAGGGACGCACAGTTGTACATTGCTTGTAAGTACTGGAAACAGAAGAGAGAAAGGAAGGGAATACTGTCACAGAATTTGTGCCAGGTTTTAAAAGATTTCTGAAGAGGTCTAATCTGGAAATGGATAAATAATGCAACTACTTACTTAAAACCTTTGAATACAAGAGGAATTGTGTAATTTTTTATGTAGATTCATGAGCTTCCTTCTCTGTCCCTTGGGAGACCCTGTGAAAAGACGGTGGGTACAAGTTAACTCTATTTTATATAAAGATGTGCAGTGACTTTTGCAAACGGAAAAGATCTATATTTATTTGGAGCAAAACAAACTTTACCTTCAGAGCAATGTACCTTTTATTTCTACAGATAAGGACTACGGAAATAAGTAGTATTGGAGGGGTGATTCTTCTTCCAGATGTGAAGCACAGCAGTAAATGTGTCATGATAGACCAGTTATGAAGATGTAATTGCCTTACCTTTTGCGCCAGGCAGGTTTAGATTGGATATTAGGAGAAATTTCTTCACAGAGAGGGTAATCAGGTATTGGAACAGGCCTCCAAGAGAAGAGGTGGAATCACTGTCCCTGGAAGTGATCAAAAATCATGTAGATGAGGGCCCTGTCATATGGTTTAATGGTGGTGTTGGCAGTCCTGGGGTAATGGTTGGACTTGATGATCTTTAAGGTCTTTTCCAACCTAGTTGGTTCTATGGTTCTATGATAACGCATGTCCTCCTGTGACCTTCGTGCTCACTAGCACTGGCTCTCATCCACTCTGCCATCATCCTTCTTTTGATATGGCTGAATACTTACACATGCTGTTTGCCCTTAGCAGTAGCCGATCTTCTGAGACTGAGTTTGCAGTGCTTGAAGTTGTATCCCTCTTTCCTCTAACCATCTTCCATGATAGAAAAGGGACATGCTAATGGCAAAAGTACACACTAAAACACTTTCAAAAGTTAGAACCCAGTGTTAGATAGATGGAGGAAAATCTAAGAGTGTATTAATAATTCCCACTATCGCTGACCTTGAACAAGTCATTGTTCTTCAGTTTCCCCATCTGTAGAATGGGGATAATAATACTTTCATCAAAGGAGCATTGTGCAGTGTGATTAATTAATGTTTTGAGATCTTTAGCTGAAAAGATCCTTTTGAAGTGCAAATTACTGTTATCTCTGAGGTGGCTGATGATATTAAATAGTTGTGCAACATCACACATGCGTCACTTCCAGGCAGTAAAGAAAGAAAAAGCTCTAATATAATCCTTTAAAATTACTTTATTTTAATTAAAATTCTCAAAGAGTCCCACAATATCAGGCAATGTTTTGGCAGCAAAGAGCATTCTTTTCATACTGCCTGGATGTGACAGATGTGCGACGTTATATCTTCCTTTGAAAATCAACCATTTGCAAAGCTGGTTTGAAAGACCTGCTACGTAACTAGTCTGCACTCTGGTAATTATTGAGGTTTATTATTTTCGGTGAAGTACAGCCTCAAGATTCTAGCCTAAAGCCTAGAATATCTGTAGAGATAATAGGGTTTCCAGAAAGAAAGAGATTCCCTTGAAGATTAAAAAAAATGGGGATAAAGTATTATTAAATACTGTATTTGATCATGCATATGAACATTTCTGCCTGGCTTCTTTGTTGGTAAGTCACTTCGGGTTCTCATCCTCTGATACTGTGGGTGGAAGAGGAATACATACACTTTTAAAAGCAGTCACTGCCAGGTAGCCGGCCCCTCTGCCCGCTGCCAGGGGAAGGTGGCAGCACCACTTAGTACCGTGCCAAATGTGCAGCCACCAGAAGGACTCCTACAGATGAGACTTTGGGAACTTCTGCTGTTCCACCAAAATGCCTTTTGGTCCAGGAGGAAAGCACAAAGATCTGGAGTAAAAGAACTCAAATATCCATTTTCTTTCTAATATTTCCGGGCCTGATGCTTATTGCAACTTTGTGTGTTTACAGTGCAAAGGGATGTTGAATCTAGAAGTACCTTGTCCTCATTTCAGCATCCTCTTTGTGCTGTCTTAAATGTTCACTGAAGGCTGGTGCAAAACTCAGGCATGGAATTCCCTCCAGGCTTTGAGCCTCTTGAATTCTGACTCATAGCTTTGAGGTCTTTCAGCCCATTAATTCCAAATAAAAATTGTGTTTTGCCTAGAGTTTGGCGGCTTTCAGGGACAGGAATGTTCTGTTGTTTCTTCCTAGTACTCATGCCTTCTGTAGCCATCCGTGGTGCTGTACAAACTTGTAATATGGAGTCAATTGCAACTGAGCTGTTTTATCTCTCTTATTGTAGGAATGGAGGTGGCCGCAGTGGGACATTTTGTGCAATCAGTATTGTTTGTGAAATGCTTCGACATCAGAGGGCTGTTGACGTATTCCACGCTGTGAAGACACTAAGGAATAATAAGCCTAACATGGTGGACCTTCTGGTATGAGCTTTTTAAGTGCATCACTAAATAGAAGATGTTCCTTTTTCTCAGAAGACTCAGTAAGATTTCTAGGATTTGCAGTGGGAGTTGTTCACAAAACAAGCAAGTCATTTTCAAAGGGGATAATGAAGTCACTTCACTTGTAAGAGTATTTTTACACTGCTTTCTTCCCAAGGAGACTTTGTCTCTGTTCATTTGAATTTTTTAAGAGTTTTAAACTTTCAGCCGAACATCCTTATTAATTTTCTTTTCTAGCAGGCTGAGCCAAGTGGAGAGCAGCCCTTGCATGGTAGAAATAATAGTTATGTAAAATGAAATGCCAGATTTTCAAATTATATATTTTATAAATAGCTTAATCGCCTAATATTTATCAAAGCTATGAATTTCAGTTTGACATCCAGAATATTGCATTTAATTATGGTTGCTCTATCTCATGGAAAGATTAAAGAAGTTCAGAAACAAGGGGCCACGTGCAATTATTTTCCTAGAGAGTGTTTTATGAGCCTTTTTTTTTTATTTTAATGGAGCATTGCTGAAGTGCCAGCTGCTGTACCAGAAAAGCTGCAGAACTAGCTTAAACCAGCAGGTTCTTACACTCCAGCATGGAGTACTTGGAGATGGGTGGAGTGTGGTACCTTATTCTGAAGCCTGGGCTATAAAAGACACCAGTTTACAACACCCTGCTGTAGAGGTGACTGCTTGGGAAGCAGCCGTAATCGATTTAGCATCATAGTCAGGAGGAGGCAGCATATGCACTGCTTCAGGGATGCTGACCAAATTTGAGCTACTTTTGCAAGTTCTGGTTAAACAAATTTGGGTCATATTTGAACATTTTAGGGTGCCCAGGGTGAGGCAGGAGGTGTCTTGCAGCTGGTCCAGCCTCCTGTAAATTTGGGAGAGATCCCTTTCCCTCAGATAAGCTACTGAGATCTAGGTGTGAAACACCTGGAGAATGGGCCAAAAACAGGAATTTCTGTCGGGAAGAATGAAGCTTTCAGGCTCATGTGTAGATGGGCAGGGATATCCACTTTGCCACCACGCGTATCACTGCATCTTATCTGTCCAATCAAAGAACAGCTCCCACAACATCCTCCATTGCAGTGCTCCCATCTAGCCTACCTGTGAAGGTCCAGACCCTCCCCTAGGCCCTGCTGTGGCCAGGCTCATGGAAGAAAGCCAGATGTTACCAGCTGTGCAAAGCAAGGAGGGAGTTTACAAGCAGCACCACAGGGCCTTGAGCCAGCAATGTGGAATTGTGAACATTTTGTCAGTGAGAAACTATCAAGCTTTTGCCATGGTGGGAGGGGGCAGCTTAGTTGGCTCCTCTTCTTCCTCTAGTTTATATTCTTATGAAGAGAATCATCATGCTGAAAAACATATATTTTCACTTCCTAGATACTAAGAAAAATGTCCTACTTCTTCATTCAGATAGTATAGTTTAGATAGAGACTTGGCAGGCCTGCTGTTCTCCTTTCTCCTAGAGCTTAAGTCCACAGAACTCACTGATCCCTTATTCATTTATTTTATATAAATAAAAAGAAAACTACCTGTGTGAAGCTGTACAGTGGAAGAAAAATGCTCTCTATAAATTCCCATTTGTGACAGTTCTCCAGTTATAGATTTGTCAGGCAGTGGTCTCCATTTTTCAACAGAGATTTTTTTTAATCAAAAGCTAAATGTATTATTTTAGAATATAAAAATAGCTTTTAGTAAATTAAGGATGGTATTGAGAATGTCTGAGTGGCATTGAGAGGCCATGTAAGGCCTTTTCACTGGGAGATTTCAAAGCACTTGTGAAGGAGATCAGTAATTTTTTCCTTATTTTTCAGACAGAGGAAAGAAGGCAGGGGATGATCAGGATTTTTCCCATTAGCACGTAATTCACTGACAAAACAGAGTTAAAACCACATCTCTTCAGTCTTGGTCTGCTACTTTGCAAGAACAAATATTTGAATTAGCAAGGTTTCAATTTCCGTGTAGTTTGTTTCATGGTGAAAGGGAATCTGGACACTTGAGTTCTTTTCCTGATCTGTTACTGACTTTATCCTTTATGACCTTTCCTATATTAACATGTCTTTTCCTCAGTTTCCATATCTGAAAAATGTGAACAGTAATATTCACCTACCTTTGTAAAATTCTGTGGTAAAAGATGAAATACGCAGAACTCTAACACTATTTCACAAGAACAGTTTCAAGACTGCTTTATCAATACCTGTTTTACACTTTCTGACTAGATGAAGGGCAGTATTTACAGTCCATACTTAGAGATTCGTCTCTTAATTTTATTGAAACCCTTGGTTTCTCTGCAAGCATAAAAATCTGAATGCCACATCCATACCATATGGATATCTATGAAATTCTTCAGCCATCGAAGAAAAAGTAACACATGGTATTAGAAAATGTCTATTACAGACGGCCCAAAGCATTTTGTGATAAATGTTATTGGACCTACCAATAGGTGTCCCAAAAAAAAAATACTGAAAATAAAGCTCTCTGAAGCTGGCTAACGTAAAGAGACTTTTAATATCCACCATCAAGTGAATAATAAAAACATATGAAGGACATACGTGAGTGAACACAGTGGGAAATAATATATGACTGCTCTTTAAGACAGGTATTCAGTTTACTAAAAATGACAGTTATTCTGCTGGATCTGTAAATCAGCATAAAATAAGCACGGGAAAAACGGAAATGGATGAGTAGCTGATCTCCTGTTTTGATCTGTTATTTAGTTATAGCATAATTTTCATTTATTTAGAAACATATGCAATAAAGCAGAAAAGGAATAATTTACATAATACTCCTTTCTTTCCTTTCTTCTTTCTTACTCTTTTCTCATTCTGAAGAAGGCACAGTTTATGGAACCCTGCAGGATCTTAAAACCTCACATACAAATCATTCATAGCTTAGGTGATACATACTCCTAAGATTTGTTTTGTTTTGAAGTGACAACTCTCCACAAAAGAACCTGGAAATTGTCCATGCTTGTTAATGGCTTTTTGATGGCTGTAATACTGCGTTGTCTCTTCTATGTTAAGGTAGACTCTCTTCTCAGCTAAAATGTGACCCAAAATCACAAGTACAGGCCAAAAGAGTTGATCCTTTAAAATACTTGCTTTGGTGAAAATGAGAATATATATTAAGTGTTAATTGTAATCTTCCTACTTGCAATGCCGGGAAGGTGAAGGCTTCTGTCTGCTAGCTAAGTCTGTTATTGTTCCTATATGACAGCACATGCTTAGTAATCTTTTATTGATTGATTAATATGCATAAGAGAAAGAGGCATTTCAGTGGCAGATATAGTCATAAAACTGGTAAGTATTTCCACACTGCATTTTTAGTAGCCAGAGCCCTTGGATTTGGGGAACCCACAGCTACTATTTCTTTCAGCTTTTTTGTTTCATTTAAATATTAAGAGCTGTTAAGAGCCTAGTGTAACCATCACCATTAATTGCTAAAAGTAAATTGGAGTGAATCCAATTAATTTAGCTCAGGCCTGATCCCACAGGCCTGTTACACTGGGAGAGGACAGTATTTCAGCATGGGTTTGGGCTTCATATAGAGGAGGAGCAGTAACCAGCTCTTACCCTTAAATGTAGCAAGTGTATGAATGACATTAAACTAGAAGTTACAATCTGGGAAGTACTAGGCACTGGGTCTGTTTTAAAATAAAACAAACGCTTCCAGGGAGGAATTTCAATATCTCCAATTCTGGTGAAGTGCTACCTGAGCATTTTGACAGATGACAGAAGGGGTGCAAGTCAATTTGCATATGTGTAGTCGATTTTTCTCATGGAAGTGTATTAGAGCATCTAAATACACATCTAATATGAGCAGTACCGTAAGTTACTGTGTGTAGTGTCTGCTGTCTGGTTAATATAAAGATTTTCTTACCTGAATATAAATTGAATTTGCAAACTGGTTCCCATTGACAACAGCTGATAGTAAATAATTTTAACAGAAGAGAAATATTGATCCCCTTAATTAAGTCCCCTCAATAACTCACTTTGTGGCTTTCTTTTGATTTTTCAGGATCAATACAAATTCTGCTATGAAGTAGCTTTGGAATACTTGAATTCTGGCTGACTGCATAAACAGCACAAAGTTCCTCCTTTCAGCACCACAAACAAAGCAAGTCACTTCATGATACCTGTGTAAATGAGATGAAGACTTCTCAGTGTTATGCTTATACTGCTTTGTATAATTGGCTCTTTTTAAGAGCCCAAAAAGATGTTTATAAAACTGCTTGCACTGCCCGTTTTCCACTATAATGCCGCTGCCTGACACCCATACCAACATACACCAAATCACGTGGCAGTTGTTGAACACTGTATTCATACCTAGCCATTGATGTGGTGAAGCAGCATAGTCCTCTGGTAAATAAGAGAGCACAATTATATTCTTATGAAGGAATTTGTACTTTTCTGTTATATTTCGTTGCCTGTGATTCTCAGTTATTGTCACAGCCTAGTGTACATTTCTGTTCTGTGGAGAATGCTGTCTGGCATTTTGATAATATATGATTTTAGTTATATTTGTATTCTAACACGTGCATAATAAATGAATCATATGTAGCTTATCTGAACTAATGGAAAGACATGTACCAAATCATGTTAACTTTGTTGAGTTGTAATTTCTATCCACTTTGTACCATTTCAGAGAGAGAGAATCTTGATAGAAATACAGTTAGAAAATGCAAAATACAGGATGCTCAGATTAATATATCCAAAGCTTTTTCATTTGTTTATATTGTAAATATTTTTTGATTTCATCAAATTATTTATTCATTAAAATGAATTTTTTTGTGAAGCACAGTGAGTGACAATCATTTTTATTAAGCCCTGGAAATGCTTACTGTATGATAGTGTAAACATTTGTTTACCTTGTATGGATTCTCAGCTCAATAAATAATTACATACATGATAAAATCTCGTTTAATTTAGTATCTCTTGGCATCTCAGTGCCTTCAACTAAGCCTCTTTTCAAATTAATTCTTGTAAATACTGAGCTACCTCCAGAGCACGTTTAATTGTGTGATCCAGTGTTGATCCAGCCAATAGCAAATGTGCTGCGCCAATACATAAAAAGAGGTGAACTGTATGTTTAAAAATGCAATGTACAAATGCAGAACCTGAAAACTTCCCTGCTGTATGAAGAAGAGGCAACGTTGGGCTTGCAGTACTCAGTCTTGTCACAGTATTCCTCTGCAGCCCTGGGCATGCCCTGCCATTCACTCTGTGTCTGCTGCTACAAAAGTGGTGATGGTGCATTTGTTCTGGGGAAGAATGACTGCTGTGAGGAGAAAGTAATTCCTTGTGGTAAAGATACCAATACTGGAAGGACTGGGGTGTTAAAAAGTGAGTAAAACTACTGCTCTGTTACTAGTGCTGTTCTCAGCACTGCCAGTGGGCAGGTTTACACCATTAAAGCTCTTGCCTGTCCCGAGAATGGCTGTACTGCACTTCCATGGTGTTTGGATAGTTCCCCTTCCTCCCAAGCACTTACCAGTGTCAGAACAGGCTGGGACTTGCCTCATGTTCGTGGATGCAGGAAGCACAGCAACAAAGCAGCAAGAAGGGCAAATGAGCCGTCACACTGGAACTACAGATCTTTCTCTCACCCAGAAGTGGCAAGGAGATACAGCAGACATCAACTGCTCGATACTGCAGCCTTCCAAAACTGTATGGGAAACCCAGTGCAAGGAAAAGGCAGACTGCACAGCATCTCAGCTCTTAAAAAGATCCTTTCATGTGCTAGCCATCTGGAATGGAGGCAGTATCTATATAGATGTATCAGTCAAAATGTTTCGAGAACCTCTAAATCTCTAAAGAGATCCAGCTTGGACAGAATGACTCACAGCTTGTCAACTCCCAGTTCAAAACCACTTCAGATCTGAAGACATGAGGATAGGCTTCCTCTGCAGCTAGACAGAATCTCTTTTAAAGCTGCTTTAAAATGTAGCTGGCAGGTATCGGTCATTGCTATAAATTGCACAGAGGTACATAAAAACTTATGAAAACAACACCAGTCCTGAGAATTATGGTCTTTTGATAAACCCTGTAGCACTTCAGCCTGTTGCAGAATATGCTCTTGATCACTGGAAACACTCCTGTTAGGAAACAAAATCCAAACCTCATATTCCTCACAACCAGTTTGTCAGACCAGGTATGCCAGCCAGGCATGCTTCTTTGTAATAATTGTGCAATCCTAATAGTTGAGTTCCATGATCAGTTTATTGAAATATGCATGTATGTGTCCAGTATTTTCCGATGCTTTCAAAAAGTGTAAGTAAGATGGGTAACTGTGCTGAAGGTACCCTAGCACAGAAGGTAATGAAGGGCATGTGATCCCAAATGTGAATGAGATTTATTGAAATGCAGCAAGAATCACGGCACTCTCTCCCAAGGACGGAGACTGCCAGCGTCTGCCAGACATTATTTCAGCTGCTGTACTCTTGCAGACATACTTTGCAAAGGTAGGTCTTGGGGGATGAAGGGCGGAAGGAGATGAGAAGGAGAGAGTTCTGCAGTGTTTCTTGTTGTTTTACTGATACTACCTTTTTGTTGTTCTTCTGACATAGGCGTAGTCAAATCTGTGTTACAGAGTCTGTGTGATGTTGTCCCAAAAGGCATTCTGTGAACTACAGTGCCTTACAACTGCAGCCAGCTAAAGAAAGCACAGCAAGAAGCTGTGTCCTCAGTCTCATACTACAGCTATCAATCAATACAAATGATAGAAAAATCCAGGCTTAGGTAAAACAATATTTTGGCAGGAAGTAAAAACAGATGAGGACTTCGGGAGTTAGGAAAAGAGAATGTAAGAAATCAGACAGGAGCAGAAGGAAGAGATGAATGTGGGAGGCAGGTATTCAAGAAGCAGCATTGAGCTTATGATAGTTGCCCTGGAGTGTGGCATTTTAGAGGACACAACAGAAAGAAAACAGCAGTGACAGCCATTCTAAGTGTTCATAAACCAAATTCCCTTTGCAGAAGAATGTTACACAATTACAAGTCCAGTACAGCTGCAGAACTTAATGGCGACATCAGTCCTAGTTCAGGAGGAAGAGAGGAAGGGATGTTTTCTTCAATCCCCAGTATACAAGAGGTACATAAATGATTAAAGAGATACTTTAAACAGTAGGCCACATGTATCACCCAACTTATTATCTCTCTGGGACTTGAGGTAGATTATTTTTGCTAAGCTATTCTTCAATAACAGGAACGGGGATGGTGAGAGATGTGATCTTTTTAACAGCAATGCTTCTGACAGCTTCCTGGGCTGCTTCGTCAGCAAAATGAGCCTGTCACTGGCAGGGTAGCTTCACAGAGTACTAACACAAATCTTAAGGACTACATATAGTAAGATTTTAAAAAATAAAGCATAGAAACAATTTCCTACCCAGCTGTTTGCAGTGTGGCTCAAAAGGGTCTCTGTGCTACAAAGACTTGATCTGAAGGTGCTACGCAGCATCACGACCACCTTCATTTTGGATTTCTCCTTCAGATCCTTTAACATCTCTGAAATATTTGCTTCTCATTTCACTGTATATGGGTGCTCCCCCAGGTCTAACTGTATATGCCCCTTCTCAGTCAACACTGGCCCTTTAATAGCATGTAGCAGAGACACAGATAGGGTTTTCTTCTTTGAGGTGTGGCAATGAAGACAAATTGACCCTTTCTGCGGCAGCTATTCCAGACCACTTCCCTTGGGGAAGCCTGGAGAGGCTGTAGTGGTAGTAGCAAACATAAAGCCCCTTGCCATTACTTAGTCCAAATCACTCACAGCAGGATCAGCTGCTAATTCTCCTTTCCCTTGTGGCAGTTTTGTGTCTTCCCCCGCAAATCAAGGATGACTAAAGAAAGTAAGTGATGTGAAAGTTTACTTGAGGTTTTACAGCCTCATTAGTTTTCTGATTCAAAGGTAATTTGGTTGTTCTGCTTCCCAGAGTAACTTCTCCAAGCAGTTGTGCATTTGCCTTCAGAAATAGCAAGCTATGTAAGCAGATCACTGCAACAGAAGGATTTGTCATCAAATTTTTTTACATTTTATTATTTGTTTTACACTTATTTTATCAACCTGGAGCCAACAAAATCTCATGCAGCCCATGATGTTCTTTCTGGGAATATGACTTGAGGCAGGTGGAAAGGAGATGTGAGGCTGGAAGAGGTTGGGGTCTGTAAACACCCTGCCATGATTTTGTTTAATATTGTTGATAGTACTCGATGCACAAAAGCACAGAAGAGGTGGGCTTTGACAATGAAGAGCGAGAGCAATGCTTGCTGTAGCTTGTCTGAGGGAATGTATCAGGGAAGATTAATATCTCATGTTAGCTGACAGTCTTTCAAAGCAATGGTATTTTTAGTCCTGAGGCTCTTCTATTGATGTGTTTTCAGTAGCACCTTAGAAGACTTCTAATTGTGTCTCTATAGTTGTGATATTTCTAGTAATTGGTTCTTCTGTGGAGAGGTGCTCAGGTGCCACAATTAAAGCATGTCTCATTCATGCTAGACATACATTAATACTGCTGCCAGGCCTAAGTAAATGCAATCAGAACTCCTAGTCCTACAAACATTTACATTCATATCCTCTTGTCTAGTCCTACTTGGACAAAAAAAATTCAATGCAGTTCACACTTTTTGCATCTGAGCTCATCAGTCCTTGTACATGTCATATCATGAGGCTGTATTTGGTCTGACTGGGATGCAATTAATTTATTTCGTACCAGCCCATATGGTGCTAGTTTTTGGATTTGAGGCTAAAACAGTGCTGACCGATCACACACCAACATTTTGGCTATTGATGATCAATGTTTGCATCAAGGCCTTCTCTCTTTCTCACACTGCCTCTGCCCCAGCAAGCGGGCTGGGGGTGGTCAAGAAGTTGGGAGAGGATACAGCTGGGACAGCTGAGCTCAACTGCACAAAGAAGGCATATTCCATACCATACAACATAATACTCGGCAGCAAAATGGGAGTGGAGCAGGAGCAAGAACATCTAGGAGACTGGTGAGCATTGGTCTGCTTGTGGGAGATGCCTTTGTATCAGTGGTTTGGTTGCTTTTTTTTCCCCGCGCTCTTCTTCTTCTTTCCTTCACTTATTAAATTATCTTTATCTTGACCCACAAATTTCCATGCTTTTGCTCTTCCTATTCTCTCCCACTGGAGGTGGGGGGAGTATGTAATGACTGTGTAGAGACTTAGCTGCTGGCTGGTGTCAGCCCACCACAGATGGCATAGAAGTGTTCGGAGGTCCACAATATGCTTCAACAAAAAGTTTTAAATATGAGCTTACTTGTAATGAAACAAATAGGATTGGTTAGGTGCTTAAAATTAAAAACATTATGTATGTTATTAAAAGCACATTTTTAAAATAAACCTAAATAGACAGAGGCAGATTGACTCAAAGTGATAAAAACATGGAATTAAATTCTGTGTGGCAGAAAATTTTGGGCAGATACTTGGCCTTCTCTGTATCTGAATTCAGTCAATTGTAAGTGTTGTCTATAACCAGCAGTTACCACACCAAGAAAAAAAACTCTCTGCTGTTTTTGGTATGCTATGAATGAATGTTACAGGTGCAGAAGAGCTCTGCCTGAGAGCTTCCAGACCTGCACAACTCTAGATGCTCTACAAGGAGGCAGCATTTCACCCTCATGACTTGCTCCCTCAGAAGGCAGAGCACCATGCTGGCTCACATACATAATACTCATATTACACATCAGGTTAATGATTGCAGCCTCTGAAAAGATTCTGGGATGCACCCAGTCTTGTTACTCTCGGTATTTGTAACCTTTAGAAGTTGAGCTGAACGCACAGAGAATTGGTCTGCTGTTGCGTCCCCTTGAAATTCTGATTTATATGGTATATAAAAATCAGCCTAAAATATAGAGCATTTGGGGGTTGAAAAGTCTTCAGAATGAAATATGGTT